AAAGACTTATGAATTGCTTCGTAAGATTTGTAATTGGAACCCCGAGACGCTCCCGTGTCTCCCACCACTACACTGAGTTAGGGTGGCTCTTCCCCTCCTTAAGAAGACAATATTTCCTTGGCACTTTCCTTTATCAAATCATTACCGATCATCGTCCTTCTTATGCCTACAACCTTCTCCAATTTAAGTCCTCAATCCATTCTCTCACTACAAGATCCCGACCCTCTGACCTATACATCCCTTCTCATAGATCTGCCTCATTCCAAAATTCCTTTATAGCCCGCTCTGTCAACTTTTGGAATTCCCTCCCGATCAAAATTCGACATGCCCCTTCCCTGTATACATTCAAAAACCTCCTATTCCAATTCCTGTTCCAAAAACAGTCTGATACCAGCTAACTATTGATATTATATAGCATTTCCAAGTCAATTTCAACCTTTTCCAAATCAAATTCAACCTTTTCCAAGTCAAATTAAACCTTTTCCATTTCAAATTCAACCTTTTCCAAGTCAAATTAAACCTTTTCCATTTCAAATTCAACTTTAGAATTTTTGTCAATTTTCGATTTTTTTCGAAATGAAGGCCACTTACTATATTATCGACGGCATAGCTTTTAAAAAATACAAAAAAAAATTTGATTACGCAGTTGCATATCCATTTATTTTAACATTTTAGATTTTTTCAGTGTGATATTTCTATGTGATATTCAATTATTTCCAAGTCAAATTCAACCTTTTCCAAGTCAAATTCAACCTTTTCCAGATCAAATCAAACTTTTTCCAAGTCAATTCAACCATTTCCATTTCAAATTAAACCTTTTCCAATTCAAATTCAACCGTTTTCATTTCAAATAAATGTTTTAAGTTTTTGTAAATTTTATATTTTTTTTTTTAAATAATGGCCATCCCCTCCCCCCCTCCAATATGAAAACCTATTATTATGCTCTCCTAAGTAGAATTTTCACTTACGGATATCGATTTATTGTACCTATTCGGATTTCTTAGGGACTAGTATTATGCTGTCCTGTACCTAGTTTTGAAAATAACCTCCATTTTAAGATTACGTGACTGCGTTTCGAATCATTTAAGTTTTTTTGACAAATTCGATATGTGGGTGTATTTTTATGTTTCCCGATCAGTAAATTTTGAAAATGACATCCAATTTATGTTTACGCCACTGTGTTTTGACTTATTTAAGTTTTTAGAATTTATCCAATATAAAGGTCTACTTTTATGTTTCCGGAGCCGTAGATTTTGAAAACGACCTTCATTTTAAGATTAGGCCACCGCGTTTCGACTTATTTGAGTTTTTCGGATATTTTTCATATGAGGGTGTATTTTTATGTTTCCGGAGCTGTAGATTTTGAAAATGATCTCCATTTTAAGATTAGGCCACCGCGTTTCGACTTATTTGAGTTTTTCGGATTTTTTTCATATGAGGATGTATTCTTATGTTTCCGGAGCCGTAGATTTTGAAAACGACCTCCATTTTAAGATTAGGCCACCGCATTTCAATTTCTTTGAGTTTTTCGGATTTTTTTCATATGAGGATGTATTCTTATGTTTCCGGAGCCGTAGATTTTGAAAACGACCTCCATTTTAAGATTAGGCCACCGCATTTCGATTTCTTTAAGTGTTTCGAATTTTTATCATAAAAGAGTGTATTCTTATGTTTCCGGAGTCGTAGATTTTGAAAATGACCTCCATTTTAAGATTACGCCACTGCGTTTCGGCTTATTCAAGTTTTTCGAATTTATCCAATTTAAAGGTCTACTTTTATGATGCCGGAGCCTTAGTTTTTAAAACGACTTACATTTTAAGATTAAGCCACTGTGTTTCGGTTTTGTTAAGTGTTTTTGATTTTTCCTTCGAATAAAAAACATAATACGAAGGATTAATTTATTTTTCAATAAATAAATAAAAATATCTAATCAAAATAAATAAAATATGTATTGTCTCATTTTTATTTTAATTTTAGTTATCTTTTTTAATGTTGTGGTCTCCTATCACCAAATTATAAGATTTCGAACAATTAGCTGAAAAATCTGAATACGGAAGGTTAAATTTATTACCAGTTGCTTTTCGGCTTTTTAGTTTGTATTCTGTGGTTAATTTTACTTTAGCTTCAAAATATTTATTTATTTATTCATACTCGAAAACATATTGATGAAACTTTGTATTGAAAAAATCCAAAATGAAGCCTAATTAATCAAGATGCAGCGGCTTAATCATAAAATGGAGCTTAAATATTAGATAAATTTAAATATTAAAGATTAGAAAAATTTCAATACGTCTCGGATAACATATAAGTAGATCCTTATACCGAAAAAGTAAAAAAAAAAACTTTTATAATCCAAAACAGTGGCATAAACTTTAAATTGGGTCATTTACAAAATGGGGGAAATCTACTGCTCCAGAAACATAAAATTAGACCTTTATACTTGTTAAATTCTAAAAATTTAAATAAGTTGAAACGCAGTTGCGTAATCATAAAATAAAGGTCATTTTCAGAATCTACGGTTCCGAAAACATAAAAGTAGCCCTTTAAATTGGAGAAATTCGAAAAACTTAAATAAGTCAAAATGCAATGGCGTCATCATTAAATGGATGTCATTTTCAAAATCTACGGCTCAAGAAACATAAAAGTAGACCTTAATATTGGATAAATTCGAAAAACTTAAATAAGTCAAAACGCAGTGGCGTAATCATAAAATGGAGATCATTTTCAAAATCTACAGCTCCGGAAACATAAAAATACACCCTCATATGAAAAATATCCGAAATACTCAACTAAGTCGAAACGCGGTGGCCTAATCTTAAAATGGAGGTCATTTTCAAAATCTACAGCTCCGGAAACATAAAAATACACCCTCATATGAAAAATATCCGAAAAACTCAAATAAGTCGAAACGCGGTGGCCTAATCTTAAAATGGAGGTCATTTTCAAAATCTACAGCTCCGGAAACAAAAAAGTAGACCTTTATATTGGATAAATTCTAAAAACTTAAATAAATCAAAACACAGTGGCGTAAACATAAAATAGATGTCATTTTAAAAATTTAATGATCGGGAAACATAAAAATACACCCTTATATCGAATAAGTCAAAAAAAAACTTAAATAATTCGAAATTCAGTCACGTAATCTTAAAAAGGAGATTATTTTAAAAAACTACTCATACGATAACAGACCCACGCATCGAAAAATTAAAGATAATTAAATAAATAAAAAAAGGTTGAATTTGAAATGGAAAAGGTTTAATTTGAAATGGAAAAGGTTGAATTTGACTTGGAAAAAGTTTAATTTGATTTGGAAAAGGTTGAATTTGACTTGGAAAAGGTTGAAATTGACTTGGAAATGCTATATATGTATTGAGTAGCAATCATATAATCATAACACTTGGTAATAGATAGTACATGCATTTCCTACTATCGACGTAGGAATTTCAATACATACATTTTTTTTTTATATATTTTTTTTTTATTCAATTATAAGTAACTGTTTATTTTTATATATATATTCAAGTAAAGTTTTTTTTTTTTTTTTTATGAAATGAACTCATTGTATCTCTTTTTCGTTCTTCATTTCTCAAAGTGTATGTTTATGTTGTTCAACCCTTAAATATAATTTTGTTCATAGTTCAAGTGATTCGTTCATAGTTTTAATTGTTTTGTTCATAATTTTAAATGCTCTGTGCATAGTTTTATCTGTTTGTATATAGCTTGTGCACCTAAGATTTTCTTTACTTTTTATTTTATTTTATCAATTTTATTTATTGTTTCAACGTTCAGGCCAGTAATATTCTATTATTTTGTACATTATTGTTATTCTGAAGGGACTTAGTCCCAGAATAAAGTTTTTTTTCTATCTATCTATCTATCTAAAGTCAGTTGTCAGTATGCCATCTTTGGACACTATTTTGTGACAGCATGTTAACTTTTTTTTGTGAGAACATTGGCTATTTTAAATTAATAGTAGCAAGGAACATAACGATATCTAATTTATATGGATGTGGTGGGAAGACTTAAAATCGAACAGTAAGGATCATTTATGCCAGGATTTGAACATTATCAGGATACGACGTACTTTTAAGAGTAATCTCCCAGGCTCCTAATAAGAAATAATAATAATAAGCAAGTTTTATTGCAGAATCTTAAGGAAATTATTCCTACAAAATTCCTTTTATGGACCATGCACAGATGCCTACTCTAAATGTGCCTTACAATCATTGCAGATATTTACAACACCTGCTGATAGAACAGAAAAAACCGCACTACTTATACATGACAAAAAAGCCTGAATGAGAAAGCAAGAAAAATTAGAAATAAATATGGCAAATTATTTTAGATTCCAGCTAGCGACGAATCTATTTTTTTATAGATAAGAACACTGATGATGAACTGAAACAATGGAGATCCTGCAAAGTTTTAAAGAAAGAGATTATCCCCTATATACTCAAAGACTTTGTTTGTTTTATCAATATTTATAATAACCTGATAAAAAAAAGACAAGTACTACCAAGTAACAAATGCTGCTGTATTTAAAAGATCATAGATCTTTCTCTGAAGAATTGATCAATTAAAACTAATTTGTATTTAATTAACTTTATAATGAACTTTATATTAGAAATACCAAAAAGTCTGAGATTTTTAGAATTATCACACTGCTTTTTTTTAATTGAAAAAGGTATGTCACATAGCAACGTCTACATTTTTCTAAATAAAACATTTTTTTTAATCCATTAGAAGAATGAATTTTAACAAAATTGTGAAAAAATTATATAAATCATATCCTAGGTAATAAATAAAAAAATAGTTCAGGTTTTTCAACCAATTTTTTTGAAAAAAGTTTAATAACTTAAATCAATATCTTGGTACTAAGCCCGTTATTCATGTACAGTCTTCAAATGAGGATACATACTACATAAAAATAAACCAAAAAATCCTAACAAACATCATTTTCAAATAACTAACAATAGATAACCAAAACAATTTATGCTTACCCAAGCAACAGGGCAGTTTCCATCTAATATCGGGCCAGATATATACGGCATATTCCTGTATTTAATGCTACCATTAAAACACATATGAATATTTTCATTGAATTTAGCTTCTATATCAGCCATGCTGAAAACACAAAGTGCTGAATGGGGTAGAGGTTCATTTGTTATAGTTTTGCTTGGTGAAAATGTTGCAACTAAAACTGGATCACCAGACTGGATACCTAAAGAACTTGCTAACTCATCACCAACAGGAGATAATTTAGCATCTTGAAGTAAATTATATGTTATACTTTCAGATTCAATATTTACCATACACTGAATTGTTATTTCTGTGTAACTATCATAATTTGCATCATTAATACAAATTCTAGCCAGTCTAGTAACATAGCCTTGTTCTTCTTGACCAGGTAAATGTGACTGTTTTTGAACAATAACAAAATATGCATAATCACTGGAATTGAATCCATAAATGTATTTAACTAAGAAATGGTCTCTATATTTTACATCTATGCGCAATAAAGATTGTTTAGAATATGAAAATTCAGCGATTTCCAAAGTATTTAGAGCTCTGCTGGCAATAGCAGGTACATCAGGTCTGTACTCCCCATTGTTAGTAAAAGTAGTACCAACATACAAAACATTTGAATGTTTCCAGTTATAGTGCTCAGGTCCAATAAATGCATAGGTAGATGAAGACTCATCATTTGCAGCTATATTGTGGGGATAAAATTGACTGTCAAGAGATATATTATTTAGTTTATACTTTTCACAGGCTCCTTGAAAGATGGAGCCACAAGAAATAAGAGTTCGGCCTTCATGATCAATTACTAAAATTTTATTGTAATTATCAGTCAATACTTTTTCTATTTGAGTCGATGGATCACATCCTCGTGCATGACACAACACACTATCTTCTTTTGGGCCTGTAATTAAACATTCCTGGACTGTTAATGAAGAATCAAGCTGAATAAGTCTATTTTTACCACCAACATAAACCCTCCCTGTGACAGGATCAACTGTTAGATGGGTAAGTTTTTTGATTTTTGAAGCTGAACAATCTCCAGTAGGCTGATTTGATGATGGAAACTGATATAAAATGGAATTATTAGTGTTAATTGTGAACACATGGACAAGCGATCCAAAAAAAATGCAAACTAAAAATCCAGTTTGAGCAAATCCCATTCTGCTTACATCGTTTTATCTGAAACAAAAAATTAAGCAACATTATCACATAATATATGAAAAACAACAAAATAATTAAAAATTGTTTCTATCATATTAATATTCAAATTACAAGTAGGTAACAGTGATTAACAAATTAAAAAACTATGACAGGTAAACAAACTGTGAAACACCATTGGATCAAATTCCACTGTGAAAATTAATGAAGTGGGCATGAGCCACAAAATAAATCTTCATAAATGTTAATTATTGAAGTGAAAAAGGGCAGTAAATATTTGGCTCAGAAATGGTTTAACCCTTTATATGGTATAATTACCATAACTTATTTTTCAATTTTTTTTTTCCATCAGAATATACTATTTAGAGTATAAATAAGATGTTAAAAGATTTTTTTTTTTTTTTATAATTGTTGGTAATATATTAAAGCTATAGAAAAGTGGTTGATATATCAACCATTGTGTGTTTTGAGACATACATAGAGCATAATTTTCATTATTTCTTTTTCAATTGTTGTCATTCGTTCTGAGCTCATTCCTCAACGGCAGAACATTTACAGTTAGAATAAATAACATAAATTCAACCTTAAGACAAATCCATGCCGGCACCCCACAAGGTTCTGTTCTTTCTCCCATACTTTTTAACTTTTATGTTCACGACATTATCCAATCCACAAACACCTCCATAGCTATGTTTGCCGACGATACAGCTGTCTTTTCCCAACACAATGATATATTAATAGCCAGAAATACACTGCAGTCTTACCTAGTAAATCTAGAACAATATTTAAAAAAATGGATGATTTGTCTCAACACCGAAAAATGTACAGCAAAAATTTTTACTCTTAGACGTCCCTCAGACCCACCTCAACTGATTCTCAAAAATAAAGAACTAAAATGGAACCCAGCTAGTGAAGCAGTAAAATACCTCGGAGTTTATCTGGACCGCCGCCTTACGTGGAATTACCATATAAATAATAAACTGACCCAAACATACGCAAGGTTAGCAATGTTATATCCCATAGTAAATAGAAAATCTAGTTTAAAACCAGAGACAACTGTTCTTATTCATAAAACCATACTAAGACCCTTGCTAATGTACGGATGTGAAGTCTGGGGAGCAGCTTCAGCTACGAAAAGAAAAAAACTACAATCCTTTCAAAACAAGGTATTAAGAATTGCAGTAGATGCCCCCTGGTTCATAAGAAACGCTCAACTACATCGAGAACTAAAATTGGAAACAATAGATGAATTCATCAAAAAACGATTTAAAAAATTCCATACGCAGCTACCAGCAGTTAAAGGTGCAGTGGCCTACAACTTAGGAAACCCAACCTCATCTCGAAGACTGAAGCCCAGACTGATCCAAGACATCATGTTATGAACAATTAATAATTTTCTCATTATTAATTGTAATTATTCAATAATTATAATGTATAAATAGTTAGGGTGTCTTTGCAAAGACTATACCCCACCAGAACAAATTGTTAAAAATCATCAAATTGTTATAGCCATGTAAGGCCCACCAGGCCGATCTGGTAATAAATAAATTTAAAAAAAAATTGTTGTCATTAGGATACGAAATTTAGAGTTTAAATACAATATTTTAAGAAATTTTCTGATTTTTTTATTGTTTATTATTACTACAGGGACATGGTCGATATTTCAAGTATGCACATTTTAAATGATTTTCCCTAATTCACTTCATTATCTCTGCACTCTGGCAACAATCACTTATTATACCTAGTTCTGCCATAAATACTGTAACAAAAGTTGAACTTTGTTAACATCCTTGGGTATTATTTAGATAATCTTTACCTCAGGTTATCCTCTTTACATGGCAGGATAATAATTCCAATTAGTTTGTATTTTTCTTTCTCTCAGTTAACATGGGGTGGGGTGATAAAGAAAAACGAATAGCTGTGATCACCTTACACAAAGTTGGAAAATGTAGGTCAGAGATTTTCAACACTTTGAAACTGGGTATCAGACGTATGTTTGTGAATCGCACTATAAATAGATATAATAAGACCCTAATGTATATGACAGATCTCGACCAGGCTGTCCCCACACTGTGAGAATGGCAAATGTAGTGAGAGCAGTAGCTGCTCGAATCAGAAGAAATCGCATTCGAAAACAAATCATGTCATGGGAAATAGGAATCTCTGTCAAATCAATATCTCGCATAATAAAAAGTGACCTTAGGATAGGTACATTTCAAAGAATGACAGGACAAAGGCTAACCACTTCCCTAAAAAAAATTAGAGTGGATAGATGCAAAGTACTCCTTGGACGTTAGACCAATGGTCTTCATCGAAAGTTTTTGTGTAGTGATGAGAAAATTTTTACAATTGAAGAAAAATTGTAATGCCAAAATGATCGTGTGTATGCACAGAGCTCTAAAGAAGCCCAGGAAGTCATTGGAAGAGTGGAAAGAGGTCATCACCCTCCCTCAGTGATGGTTTGGTGGGGAGTTTCCTTTAATGGCACCACAAAGCTCTTAACACCACCTAACCACATCACAAGAAAATGGAGGGGTCCACATCGGAATGAATCATAAAATCCTTGGATACACAGATGATATAGCTGTCCTTACAAGTAATCAAGAGGACATTGAGAAACTCACTACAACACTGACAATAGAGGCAGAGCAGATCGGCCTACAACTCAATGAAGACAAAAAAAAAAATTTGATAATAAGCCGCAACTTCAGCCCCAATAACAGGATCTGCATAGAAGGAAAATCATTCCCGAGAATAGAAAAATTCAAATACCTCAGCTCCAGAATAACCTCAATGAATGACCAACGGATAGTAATAGACTAACGTATAACTAGCCCAAACAGAGCTTTCTTCTCCCTCTTAAAGGTATTGAGAAAAATCTCAAACTAAGGGTGTACAATGCTATGATAAAGCCAGTTATAATAGATGGATGTGAGACCTGGACAATAACCAGCACCCTAGAAAAAAGTGTTGAAAGAGTTGAGAGGAAAATCCTCCGCACGATAACCACAGTGATCTGGGATCAGAGTACTAACACATGGAGAAGAAAGACCAATAAGGAACTGCTTACAGAAACTGAACAATCAATATCTCATGATATGAAAGCACGGAGATTAAGATGGGCAGGGCATGTAGCTCGTAGCAATCCATCTAGAAGCCTCTGCTTACAATGAATGCCTAAATATACGGCAAAAGACCACGTGGAAGAGCAAAAAGCAGATGGATAAATAGAATCAACAAAGATGCAACAGAGCTGTGTGCAGATAAATGGAAAGAAATAGTCCAAGACAGGCAGAAATGGAGCAGGCTTGTTATGGTGGCAAAAGATCTACATGGTCTGTAATGTTAATAGAAAAAAAAAAAAAAAAAAAAATATATATATATATATATATATATATATATATATATATGAGAACAGGAGTTTTAGCTTGTGGTGCCAGGAGGAGCTGAAGGTTAAGTAAAACATGGGGTGCAGATTAGAAGATCACATTGTTGACACAAGGCATGATAGGTCAGCAAATGTGGCCCGATAAGATTAAGAAACCAAATATTTGCCATGTATGCAAAAAGTAAAATAAAAGAATTAGTACAGAGATGAAAGCCTAAAAACAGTTAGAAAATAGTAAAGTGTGTAAGTTTGAACACAGTAGCAAAAATTGAAATCAATAGACTCAAAGATTGATAAGATATTTTATTGATATTAACGTTACGTTATTGAATGTAATCAGCGATGTATATTTAATTCTATTAAGAGTTTAGATCATGAGTGGAAAGAAAAGGAGGCACCAGGGAGTGGGAAGTTTAAATGGAATTGGTTTAAGGAAGGACTACACCAATGGATCTAAGAGGATGCTGAATTTCCACAAGGGGTTATTCCAGAAGTCAAATGATTGATGGGTGAGCATGAAGATATTGAAGAAATTTTAATAGAACTGACCCTCTTGGAAACAATCTGAAATGTTAACAATATTTAGATAAGATTCAAGAGAAATCTTGCCAAAATTAAGATACCTGAAGTAGAAAGAGAAGCTTTGAGGAAGTTTTCAGAGATTGAAACACTGGTGACAACTACCGCTGCAAAAGGTAGGAGGAAGAGGAAGAAGAATATAATCGTACCAACCACAGAAAAGGAGGAAATAGAGAATGAGAGAGGACTTAAGAAACCCACATTCTCCAAAATATTGAACAGAGTGGTAAATCACCGTTTTAACTTAGTTCCTGAGACTCACTTATATCTTTGACCATAAAGGGCGAAAACGGGCTGGACACCACACAAAATATATGGAATGAACAGCTGAGTAACAACCAAGTTCGTACTGGTTAAAACTCAAGAAGTAGAGCAGGCAAAGAAAATGTTGAAACAATAGGCCCTGATGAACATGGAACTCAATCTGATGAGGAGATCAAAAGAGTTCCTCACACTTGCAATGCAGAAAAGCTGGAAGATTTGAACACATAGATTCTGAAACAGCAAAGAAGAAAATGAGAAGAGAGACTGGGCCAGAGTCTGCTTCCATAACATTAAAAGGGATGAGCAGATGAGGACATGGGTAGATGAAGTCCTCCAGTCAGTGAAAACGACGAACCTACAGAGGAAATGGATCTCCTGAACCTCTAATGTCTGTGGTGCCAAGAGTGGTCACTTCATTGTCAAGTGCAAGAGGAAACTGGCATGAAGATAGTGCACCAAAGAAGAACACATTGCTGAAGAGAAAGGGGAAATCCCGAAGCGACTGCAACAACTGAGCAGTGGCAGGGAAACCAGAAGAATTAAGGAGAGACTGCATGGGCAGCAGGGAACGGCCAGTGCACTTAGTCAAAATTTAAAAAGTGGTAAGGAAGATGGACTATGATTATGTGGAGAGTCCGGCCAGTGGAGAGAGAATTATAAAAGGTGCAGTTTTATCAATAAAGACCACAACCATTAACTGGACTGTACCACAAAATACCATGTAATATTGATCTCATGAATAAATGATATCCTAAATGCATGAAATAAATAATAAGAGAGTTTTACCCACTGCCGTTAAAACCCATATACCGGAAACAAGTCACTTCCTTAGTGAATTCTTAAAATGCAATCTGCAGCTTCTTTTTGGAACATTGCGAATCATAAAAAGAGACACTCTTGGGACTTTTCCTTGTATCTCTATTGAATTAGTGTAAATAATAGATTATTTCTAGTACAACTAAGTGTTGATAACTCCTCAATTTGAGTTTTTGTTACAAACTTATTCAACTTAATTTTTGAAAATTGTTCTTAAATTACATTATTGATATCAGATAACAGAATACTTTTTTTCTCAAATTACAGTAGAAGAAATAAAGTATTAATCTCTTAAAAGTTAAAAAGGATTATCTGTTAGATCCCAAAGGTGAATCTAATTTTTTTTTCCTGTTGACATTACAGACCATATAGATCTTTTGCCACCTTAACAAGCCTGCTCCATCTATACCTGTCTAGGGCTATTTCTTTCCATTTATCTGGACGTAGCTCTGTTGCTTCTATCTATCCATTCTATCTTCTATTGAGGGATTCATTGTTTATGTAGAGGCTTTCAGATGAATTTCTACGAGCTACATGCCCCACTCATCTTAACCTCCGTGCCTTCATATCTTGATGGGATATTGATTGACCAGTTTCTGTAAGCAGTTCTTTATTGATCTTTCTTCTCTATGTATTAGTACTCTGATCCCAGATCGCTCCGGTTATCGTGCTTAAGATTTTCCTGTCAAATCTTTCAACACTTTTTTCTTTATCATAGCATTGTACATCCTTAGTTTGAGATTTTTCGGGATTTAAATACCTTTGAGAGAGAGAAGAAAGCTCTGTTTGCGCTAGTTACATGCTAGTCTATTTCTGCCCATTGGTCATTCATTGAGATTATTAAGTTTATAACTTTAGCTCAGTTAAAAATGCATATACAATTTTTTTTAATTGCCCAACATTGGCAGAAAATAATTTCTATTCAAAATAGAGCAGTAAGTGAAAGTTGTGTGATGTGCACACCAAATTGTTGAGCTTAGAACAGTGTTTGCAATTACAAAACTTCTACCAGAGAAATATCTTTCCATTTTTTTCTATCACTATATCCTCTAAGTAAACATATTTAGGTTAAAAAGTATTTTATTAGCTTCAGTAAACGCATGTTTATGCAATAGACCTGAGAGACACTTTGACAGTATCGTGTTTGGTAGCCATTACCTCACTCTAAAGTAGACTCTTTGGCCACACCTCCTAGACACACTGTTGTATCAAGCTTTAGAAATGTGAACCTTTCTTATTATTAAAAAAGAGCAATCTCAATCTTATATACATTCTATACCACTTGTATACTATTGAAAATCAAATTTACATGATTTTTTATAAGTATATGTATCCATACAAGTACCCAATTAGATAAGTACCATGTAGAAATAATTGGTTTAAGTGCAGTCAGATGGAAAGGAAGCAGCTTATAAGTGGTAGATCTCAAGATATACATTGGCATAAGCAGAGATAGAAAATACACGGCAGTTGTGGCACAGAATAAAAGAATGATCTATATGATAGGCTTAGAGAACAGCGAAATATATTATCAAGATTGATCTATGCAAACTTCAATCGTTTAATAGGAAACGTAAGGATCCAAGCCTAAGAGAACCGATAGAAAATGTTTAGATAAAAGACAAGAATCAGTTCTAAAAAGATATATATAAAAAAAAAAAAAATTGAGAATAATGTTAATGTAACTGGCAGGAGTATAATTAATGTAAAATGGTGGAGTTATTATTGACCTTGGATCAAAAAGTAGAAAAAATAGTTGGAGGAGCAGTCATTAATGAAATTACAAACAAATAGGAAGTCTTATTTTATGGTGTCGATATTTCTAATTAAATTTTAAGCCTTCATCAGGGCCAAGTAGAAAAAACAATACAAATTATAAGAAAGTGTAAGAAAAACAAGTATAACAAGAAAAATAAAATAATAAGACAGAAAACATTATGAAAATGATAATGATCAATTAATTGAGTATGTGTATATAATGAAAAATGATGGAAGGATCAAACAGGAGAAAAATCTCAATACAGATAAAAAATACTTTTAGCAAAACTACTAACCCAGACAGACCATGATGGCGCATGTTGGGGCGAGGGTCTTAGGGTACCCAATCCTTTCTATCACATTCAAGGATACTAGTAATAGTGATAGAGTAGCTCAATTTAGAATTAAAAGAACAAGAATCAATTATTTTTTGTAATAAAAAAATGACAAATTATCGTCATTCTGTTGGTGATTGTCTGCGAAATGAGGAATTTTCGTCATGCAGACGAATATGTGTTAATATTCCTACACAAGTTAGAATGGGGCAGCAACTTCTAGGCAACTAACAGAGGTTAGAAAAAAAAAATCATATGGCCCACTTGCCAGACTAGTTTCCTTCACCAATATCAGTACAAATAACTCATGAACAGTTGATTAAATATGGAGAGAAAGGTAATGTAAATATTTTTCAAATACCAAAGAGATTATTTTCTTAATTAAAAGTAATTCGTTTAAATTGGTTAAAACAAACCAGCCACAGAATAACTCAAGAGCTAATTAATATGATAAAATAATATATTAAGGATATGATATAGTAAACAGGATTCGTAAGAGCTCTTTCATTGGGTAAAAAAAAACATAACCCTTGCTGAAAGGAAGATATGAAAAATAAATAAAACAAGAAATTTAATTTATTTACAATATAAACAAATAACTCTCTACTGTTAAACTGTAATGTTTATATAGTTTGTCAATGTACAAAGAATTTACACAGTAGGAATGAAAAAGATACATCATAATTACAACTTATTCATTAATTGAATCAGTAACAAAACATAAAATCCTAGTTTAAAAAAAGTAATTAATAAAACACAAAAATAAACAAGCAATCAAAATGAATTTAATCCTAACATGTACACATAACCAATCAATTCCAATATATTTAAATTTTTACAAACCGGCTTCATACTGGGTTTAAGCTGAAGCTTCTAAATGATTCCCTAATATAATACATCCCTTAAGGTTTGCTATAGCATAGCACTCTTAAGATACTTCCAGGTCCCACATGATGCTCGATGTACATGTTTACATCTAAAATTGTAAATATAAATTAGAATTACAAAATTAAAACCATTACTTATCTTAAGTTACAAAAGTTGAATAATGGAAGATATTTTCATCTGAAATATCAAAATGGCTCATTGAACAAAAATATAATTTATAAGACATCTATTGTCTTCAGCCTAAAATGAATTGGTTATAGCTGCTTAATTAATAACTGCACAATAGATAAAAGTTGTTATAAGTTTCGACTATGACTTTGTAATTTACAATTAGTATTATATGTCAATCTAATTAAGGACTAAGTCATATTGTATTAGAATGTAACTATGCAAGCACTTATAATATTATATTAACTTACCAGAGCAAGTAGACATTCCAAAGTACAAATTTCAAACAATGATGAGGGTGATCCAATAAACTTGTCAAGATATTAGTTAAACACATTTCAAAACAAAGTCTGAGATGAATTCAATATCTTTTCTATGCAGGAAAGATGGAGATATACTAAAAAAACAAAACAACAAAAATCAAATAATGACTTTGAAAAATTCTAAATCATTACACTAATAAAGTCCATACGATCTTCGGTAAGATTTGGTTAAATTACATTTAATTTTACTGAAATGTATAAAAAACATTTGTTGGAGATGTAAACAATGATGTTTACGCTTTCAATGGTGAGTTTTGATATATTTTAATAAAAATAAGATAACATTACAAGAAGAAAAAACACAAGAATTAAAACAGATAAATATACTAACTTTGTTTTGTTTTTTTTTCAAATGAAACCACAGAACATCATTCACCCACCCAACCTGACATATAAATAATGTAACCCTACACATGCCAAATCTATAAAGAAAAATATATTGATACAAAGAAAGTAAAATTATATGTGTAATTTAAGAAGAAAATAGGTTAATTTTTAACAATTTTCCGCTTTATAATAGAAAAATTTAATACCAAAGCATAGAACTACTAACATAGAAACAGTTCGTAAACTCGAAGCAAGGAGGAATAAATTCGAAAAGCTCGTTTTGAATCCATTACAGAACATCATTGTTTATAAACGTAAGTTAGGTAAGGTGACAAATTTCGAACAATTTCAATCTCGATGCGATTTTAATCTTACATTCCCTAATTATAGCCAAAACAAATTGGTTTTGATTCGTAGAACATTCCTCCGTATGCCAGAAATGGAGAGATAGTGGGTAAGCAAAAAAATCTTGGAACAGTGTTTAAATTGTGTTTGACTTAAATATTTCGTGGACTACCTTGCTTCTGAGATTGCTACTAAAAAAGGTTTCGGAAGGCCTTTACGAAGCGCGTTCAAGGATATTACATGATCAAATAAGGAGAGGTCTAGGATAGGATGGCTTTAAAGAGACGAACTAAATCACTATCGGTCAGCGAGCTAATTATTCATCAGATTGATCTTTATATCTCCCGAAAGGTTTGCCATAAATAGAGAGTCGAGCCTCAAGTCTTTATGGAGAACTAAAATATCAACGAAGGGACAAACTAGAAATTATTATTATTATTATTATGGTGCTACTGTCCTGCAAGAACCCGGGCCTCCTCCACTACAGCCAACCAATCTCCATGGTCTTGTGCTACTTCCCTCCATCTTCAAATGCCCAGCCGCCTCAGATCGTCCTCCAGCCATCTGATCTGAGGGGGTCCTCTACTTCTTTTGCCATCTGGCTTCTCATACAGTACCCTGGCTCTTTTTATCAATGCCACAGTATCAGGTTCTCCATAAAGTTTCAGCAGCTCTTCATTCTTCTCCAAATTTCATTCTCACTAATTCTGCTCCATATTCTTCTCAATACTTTTCTCTTCCAGAAGTTGAGCATGCGTTTTGAGTTTTTGAGAGAGAGAGAGAGAGAGAGAGAGAGAGAGAGAGAGAGAGAGAGAGAGAGAGAGAGAGAGAGAGAGAGAGAGAGAGAGAGAGAGAGAGAGAGAGAGAGAGAGAGAGAGAGAGAGAGAGAGAGAGAGAGAGAGAGAGAGAGAGAGAGAGAGAGAGAGAGAGAGAGAGAGAGAGAGAGAGAGAGAGAGAGAGAGAGAGAGAGAGAGAGAGAGAGAGAGAGAGAGAGAGAGAGAGAGAGAGAGAGAGAGAGAGAGGAGAGAGAGAGAGAGAGAGAGAGAGAGAGAGAGAGAGAGAGAGAGAGAGAGAGAGAGAGAGAGAGAGAGAGAGAGAGAGAGAGAGAGAGAGAGAGAGAGAGAGAGAGAGAGAGAGAGATAGCCACTGGCCTCCAGATGGGGAAATAGTATAGAGATGTTCACCCATCTACACTGTTAATAATACATTACTTCTCATACTATTCAATATACTCTCCACCTTTGACAGTGCTTGGTAGCTCTCACCCAATCAACCTAGACATAGGAGGGACGAGGGTGCGCGCGTGTGAGGAGGTCACGTAACTCGGGGTGAGGTTCAGAAGATCCTTCGACCACAGCCCACACGTTGCGTATCTGAGAGGTAGGGTGACTAGCTACTAAATGGCCTGTCGAGGAAAGGTAGTGCGTTCTGGGGGATCAAGTACCCAGTGACAATCTACAAAGGTACCCTTATACCCTAGGAATAATTAGGTACGCATTACCTGTGTGGAGTCGGCGACTCACGGAAGATCAACGGGGAAAGCTAGTAACTATCTAGAGACTGACCCTGCTGAGAGTCACTAAAGCCTACAGGACGGTGTCGCACGAGGCGGTCCAAATACTGGCTGGAGAGATCGACATGATCCTGAAGGAGTACGTAATCAAGTTCGATGTGAAAAGATACGGACTCGGTTCGCTTCCGGAGGGACTACGGCGAAGTGCTGAGGACGAGCCAGGAAGATGGAAGAAGCTGGTGGAGAAGGACTAACTTCGGGAGTGGAACGAGCGGTGTGTGAAAATCGAGAAGGGTTCGACCTTGAGGAAGTACTTCCCCACCATTAGTTCCAGGATGGAGGCGAGGTGGGTGAATCCAGACTACTGAACATCGCAGATCCTTACGGGACACGGGGTTACAGAGCCAAGCTGAATAACCATGGAAAGAACATGAACCTCTTGTGTCCCAGCTGTGGGGTTCCGGACACGGCGGAGCATGTAGTCCTGAGGTGTGAAAGGATGACTGGGCATAGAGCCTGGCTGTCAAGGATGACAGGACTATATGCAACGGAAGAGGCGGACCTACCAATGCTGATGTGCGAGGACTACTACCCTTACTTCACTGAGTACGTTAGGAGATGGAAGGAGGTGTTGGGACCGGAGCATTTCACCATTGCGAGAGGACGCCCGCCGAAGGCCATAGAGAAAGAGATGGAGGAAGAGGAAGAAGGAAGAGAAGGTGCAGTCCCTTCATAAGGCGTGCAACCGCACGCTGGGCTGCACTACAGGTTACCCAACATTGTTCCCAAAATAAACGAATCCATAAAGCATGTAGAACCAAATAAAGAGATATGATAAATTTAAAAAAAAATAGTTTATTGGTGGCAGTGACATATGCAAATCCCATGCGCACTACCCTACTGTCACCGAACCCAGTATGCCAGAAATGACCTTGTAGGGGGATAAAAAAAAAAGTGCTTGGTAGCTCTGCGTACTCATGCAGATGCAGGAGTTCAACATTCCTAGCAACTTGTAGTCCTTCATAGGAAACTACCTGAGTAACAGGAGAGTCAAGATTAGAGCTAGCTTCACTACACACCCTGGGGAAGGTAATTAATGAAGGTAATGTGGAGTCCCCGAGAGAGTTGAACATGTGAACTCCTGCGCTGATAGTTCTTCGAACTTGCCGAGACAGACTTTCCCCGACTGATGGAAGAGACGAACTAACCATTTTCCGGGAGTTCGTCTACGATCACAAGGAAGGAGTTTACCCTTCGCACTTTACTCTTGGTATGTAATTTGAATCTTCTATAAACTCTTCAACTGGTTTAGAAGAGCTATACTGGAAATTCAGGTGAATAAGTGACGTAACACCTACCTCATCGACGTATTTCAACAATTGTGTAGTTGCTAACAACATAAATAGTCAATTAGCTGAAAGTTAATATTTCAGTTCAGTACTCAGTATAACCGCAATATATGAAAGTCAAAAGCCAATAGATGTACTGTTGTGTGAAATACTGATATAGATAGTACTGGGTACTACTTAAAATTTGTAGCTTCAATCACTATAAATTTTATACTGATTCTTTGTTATCAGAAAGTATAAAATATCCTTACATAAAGTTATTTCATATCCGAACATAACAATATGAAATATTATGAAATAAAAAATATTTTTCGTCTACATTACGAGTGGCTGTATGGTCGTGGTGCCACCTGGTAGCAGCCATGAGAACAACCCCAATTGAAATTGCGCTACGGACTATCAGCCTCTCCTGCAATAATACCAAAATCAATTCATGAATAATTAACTAAAATAAAACAACAAAACCATCCAATATGAATAGCTAACCTATCTCCTTATACAATTAGTATGTTTCCTTGAAGACTACCTTAATCTTTAGTACGGTACGTTTTTCGGTTTTAATTGAAGTGTATGAAAACACTATCTCTGTGGTATTAATTGACTAAATAAACGAAAATGCAAGTGAATTAACGAATAAGTACTTGCTTAATAACACAAAAAGATTACAAAAAAGATTGACTACGATAAGTATTTGTTAATGTTAATATTAATTAATTAGTGTTATCACGACATCCTTCCTTGGGGCGACAATCGCTCTGAATACTGGAGCGACAAAATCGTTCTGGATTTTCAGGGATATTGTAGGTTTTAAAATGCAAGAGAGGGTCTTGAAGCTTTTCGATTTTAGAGGACGGAGATACAGATGATGGGCCTGTTGAGGAACGAGCCGAGGCCGGCTAGAGACTTTTTTAACGAAAACTGGTAAACCGGGTCAGTTGGCTGTCATCATCGACCAAGATGGTTTCTGCTCCTCCAACATGGCCAAAATCAACATCGTCGTCATTATGTAAACCTGTTGTACTTTGTATGTTTTACAGGGACTATATTAGAAGGAAGTAGCCCATGAGCAGCAACAAACACTTTCAATTAGCATTGGTGAACATTTTTTGTTTGTTTTAGGAGTCTCGAGTTTCTATGTCTAGGTTTTTCTCTAATATACATACATTTATTCTTTTCCATAATAGTCACAATCTAAATCAAATGATAGAAATATTTTTGAAGGTATACCGTGATTAAACGGTAATGAAGTGACCGCGTCAAATGAATAATATTACAATTCTATTCTAGGTTAATGGGGAAACAGGTTTGTATGGTGCAAGCGTTTGTAAGTCGATACAATAGCGTTTTCGTCTGAAAGTATGCAATTTTATTTTATTAACTTTCTTAATGAAGTAACTTACTTTGTCACTGATTTCTTAGCTAGTTTTTCCCGATGCATCCCTTGAAGGATGAAACAGGGGATAAAGTATTGCCTAAAGTGATTCGCCAGGTTTGCCGTTTGTCTCTCTGATACAGTTATTTAGGGCAGCCCCGAAAATTGTTTATTCACAACTGAACCAATAACTAACAACTTTAAAACTTTTTTATCAGTGTTCCTAACTGTTAAACTCAATTTCAACAAGAGTAAAGCGAATTTTACTCAATTCTCCAAGAACGTAATATCGTTCTACAATTACAAAATTACTGAGAGATTCTCGGATTTTGCTATTTCGGCTTCTAAAATACTCAAGAGAAACAAATTTAGAGTGATTGTGAGAGTTAGGTTTTGTTAGTAAATATGAAAAACTTCTACTGGTTTAAAGGAAGTAGTTTTATCTTTACAATAGGGTAAACTATATACAACTGGACCAATTCCATTGTGACCTTGAACTTTATTACTTTTTGATTTAATTAATTTTAACACAGATATTTCAACAATATTTTTCTTTAAATTTGTAAATTTATTTTAGTATAATAGGTATTCACATTTAAAAATAATTAATAGTATTGATGAGGACAGAAAAAAAAATAAACCAATCATTTTGATTGACGTAAATTTTATAAATGTGGCCTATACCAGTCAATATGGACAAAATTCGAAGTTGGCTTAATAATGTTGACTGTTTAAGATCCCTATACGCAATTAGCTCTTTGGCTAACGTTTTTGCATGATATCAGTCGTTCACGATTCTGCTTGCCCTAAATTTGAAAGTCTATAAGTTGTTCGCGAAATATATGTACGTATATTTCAGAACTCATTTTTAATGTTTGTAAATTCCATTTCGTTTTCTCCCTGTATATACTTTTGCTGAATCGTCAGTGGCTCTTTAAAATTTTATTTTATTCTGAACTGACAACTAATTTTTAGTTTTTGTTTACTTTAACCTTTTTTTTGTTATCTCAAATTTAAAATATATCTTTTATTTTTTTTTTTGTAATTTGATTACACTAGTTTTAGTTTTCAGTTTTGCTCAGTAATTTTGTAAGTCAGTAGACACCTTTTATCCAATTTAACAATTTATCACCTTAAGGAATATGATACATATTGTGTTTAGTTATGATAAATTTTGACATTTTAAATTAAACTATTTATTTTATATCATTCCTGTAATTTGAGTGAGTCTGTTTTAAGTTAGCATCTCCTCTGTTTTAAATGTGGTTCTTTCTGCTACTATGAACTTGTAATATTCATAATTGGTTTTATATTAATATTGCAAATTATTCACCTGCACCAAAACATTTTACTTCTTCAAAAGGTAAGTATTTTAAAAATATAATTCAGGATGATAGTGCTCCAGATTTTTTACAGATATCAATTATGGGATTATATGCTTATTATATTATATGACCAACTTTTTTATCATAGTTATAAAATATGTAGTGAAAAAACATCTAAATATGCTATAAAACATCAAATATATTCAATCATACTAATGTGCCTACAAAACGTTTTGAAATCAAAAAAATTAATAAAGAAAGAAAGGATTAAAAATTAATTAAAATTATTTTAATATTTCAAAATAATTAAAACATAATGTGGTAAATAAAAAATATATATTTATTAATGGTTAAAATAGATAATATAATATATATAATATACTATAATGCTTATTATGGATTAAAATATCATTGTATTACATACTTCCAATTAGCAACAAATAAAAACAGCTTTAGGTAATTGTTGATAAAAATTATAACTAATTGCCAATTTAAAAAAAAAGTTAAAAATTTAAATTAACACATTTTTAATAATAATTATTAACATAATGTGAGGTACTTATTAATCATTAAAATAATACAATTTACAATTAAGTAAAAGAAAGTTAGTAAAAGAAAATTAAACATGTTTTTAATTAAAAAAATAATTTATTACATAAATAAAATATATAAAACACCAAGATAGGATTAGAATTTAGTAATAGATTAGATAGGATTAGAAATTAGTAAGCGACATTATCCGACCCAAATTTATAAGTGAATTTCCAAATTTGTTTCTGAAAACCTAATTCTTATATGGAAATATTTTCAAGTAAAGAAATGATCATTATAGAACAGACTCAATAGAATCTAATTTGTATCCACTTACAGTCATTGGCTTGTTGTTTTCACTAGTAATGTGTTTTGAACAATAGATTAAAAAACGAAACTCCATATTCTAAGAAGACAATCACTGAAGATAGTATTATTTTGTTATTTGTTGATTCAAAATCACCCTAAAATTGTTTTATGGAGTTTCATCCTAATTGTTCCATTTTAATTAATTTTATTAAAAATTATTATTAATATTTTTTATTTGAAATAATAAAATATGCATTTATTATTAAGTATGCAATTTAAAATTTGACTAATTCTCTCATTCTCATAGATATTTGATCAGCAGTTTGAAAAATTTCATTAAAAAATAATTTGCTATTGCGTACAAATCTGGGCCATGGTTATTACTTTAGATTGGTATTGATGTCTATTTTATCTTATAGCGTATACATTTTCATTTACCCCATTATGGTTATTTCTTAAATTAAATACCCTATTCCTATAATATTTAGATTTTTTGAGAAAAAATTATTCTCCTTCAGAAGCAGGAGTTTCTTCCGAATGCTATAATGTTTTATCAGAAGGCATTATTCAGTATCAATTGTACATCAATACCAATATTAGCCAATAATCTATTATTTATTTATTCAATTTTAAATTGTTAGCATTATCTTATCTTTTTGTCTATATTCGTGGGATTACTTTGGTATGCAGGGTGTTTCGTAATTGCACGGCAATTTTAAGTATGTGTTCACTAACACAAAATAAACAAAAAAGTTCATATTAACATATATCTCAAACTCATATATTAAACAGATATCATAGGTTACAGATTTATTATATATTTACTGCATTAAGACTGTACAAAGTTTAGCGTCTTTAATACTAAATAACAGGTTTTAATCACCTGATAAACAAATGAACGATAAGCAATGACAGTAGTTGCTCAATTGTTTGTCTAGCTCTATGTGTTTTAGTGTGAGTGAATACTGTGACCCAGTTAAATTTATGATTATCATGGGAGACACCATACATCTATTCACTTTTGCAGAACAAACAGACATGCTTTTAACTTATGGTGAGGTACATAGAAATGGTGCTGCTGCTGTTCGTATAAAATTTCCTAACCGAAGAATGCCAAATCGTAAAGCGCTTAGGCCATTAAAAGATGCCTTAGGGCTAATGGCACGCTAAAAACCTATACGAATAAACGCTGGTCGACAAAAATTTCGACGAACTGCAAATGTGGAAGAAGAAATACTCGATGCTGTTCAGTTATCTCCAGATTACTGGTACACTAGTACCAGAAGATTGTCATGTAGTTTCGATGTTTCCTCTACCAGCGTATGGCGAACTTTATGTGAACAACAATTGCATCCATTTCAGGTATCGAGTAGGCAAGATTTGTTACCACAAGATTATAACAAGCACAGAAATTTCTTCTAGTGGTTAATTCGACTATGCACCCGAGATCTTAACTTCCTGAACTGCATTTTGTTTACTGATGAATCTTGCTTTACAAGAAATAGGATTCTTAATTTTCAAAATACCCATAATTGGGCTGAAGAAAACCCTTATACGACTGCTGTTGGACATAACCAACATACCTTTTCTTTAAATGTCTGGTGTGGTCTTCTATGCGACAACATCATCGCTCCCAACTTTTTGCCACCTAGGCTGTCAGATAATCTTACTTGCATTTTTTGCAAAATAATGTTCATGAACTTCTAGAAGATAGGCATTAGGCAAAGGCTGTGGTTTATGCATGATGGTGCTCCAGCTCACTTTTCTAATAGTGTCACTGATTATTTAAATGCAACTTATGGAGACCGATGGGTTGGTCGAAACGGACCTGTTAAATGGCCACCACAATCTCCGGATTTAACGCCATTAGATTATTTTGTGTGGGGCTGGATGAAGTCTATGGTTTATTCTGCGGCAGTTGGCACGCAAGAAGAGCTAAGAAATCGGATCGTGGAAGCCGCAGTAACTATCAAGCACCATCCTGATGCTATACGAAGAGCCAGAGAAGCATGGATTCGTCGTGCTGAATGTTGCATTCAACAAAACGGAGGCCCCTTTGAACAGTTACTCTAAATATTGTAATAATAATAAATAAATACTAATAGAAAATATTAAATCTTTAACTTTTGATATTCTGTTTAATAAATGAGTTTGAGATATATGTTAATATGAACTTTTTTGATAGTGAACACATACCTAAAATAATGCCGTGCAATTACGAAACACCCTGTATATGTGTGAATTTAGTGTTGAATTCCTAGCATTCGAATTTTTTTTTTTTGAAAATATGAATGTTATGAAATATTAATAACTTAACGTAGTTTATTAGGGATACTTTATAGGACTAGTCTTATGAAAAGGAAGAAGAAAAAAAATATATATTGTAATGTAAATATTACACAGTGATTTTAAATAGTGGCACGAAAGCAGTGACGTCACGAACTTTTGTCAAAAATGGACAAAGAAGCGGAGAAAGACAGATGAAAGGAGAAGGAAGGGCCACATGTTAAGGAGAAAGTGACCAGCCGGCAAGGAAAGATCATCAAGACGCACAGAGAGTGACAGGTGACCAACAAAGAGTGAGTGTCTAGACGAAGATTAGAAAATGGATTATTAAGAGAAGATTTGTAGATGTTGAATACAACACTACCTTCAACAACATTTGGAGGAAGATTCACTGCAGAACAGGGTGAGTGCAAATTAAATAATGACAATTAGAAAGCCCGCCAAGAGTAGACCCTGACAAAGCTGAATAGAAATTCATAAATATTTTATAGGAATTTAATGTATGTTTTTATATTATATAATTGAGGAATGTTTGTTTATTGTCTCATCCCAACCTGAGAAATAATTTGTAATAATTTAAAATAATTGTGTAAAATAAATATAATTTGGTTTAGAAACTGTTTGTTTACTTTTCAACGGAAACGTAACCTAACAATATAATAATAGAATAATGTAATGAAATAGTTGTTTGTGTCCATATGGATTGATTAGTATGCTGTGTATAAAGCAACCCTATATAGTAGGACAGCATTACTTTAATAAAGTATTTCTCTCTCTACATAACATTTCTAAAAAAAAATTGAAACTTGATTTTTTCCATTATTTTCATGAAAACGTGAATATTAGTTACAATATTAGATGTTAGGAGTATTAAGCTTATCTATCACCTAACACCAAGAATCAATTACCATAATTGAGATATATTCTACTGTTATTTTGAGTCATGATTTTTTACTAAAATGTGCGTTCTAGTAAATAATGTATTACAATATATGCCAGGTCATAAAATAAAATAACAAATAATTCATTATAATTACTTTTACCAAAAACAATGGTAATTTGAGGATGTCGAATTTATTTTTACATAAATTTTACGAGGCTTTGTGGATTTTTTATTCAAAATATAAAATTCTTTTGCTGTAATAAAAATTTTGGCTATTGATAGGTCACTTTGAAATATAAATTTTACCAATTAGAAAGCTCACGCGGGCTCATTACCGCATATGTGGAGCATCCCACAGGTGGCGGATGTGGAGATGATCGGTTCCTAATGAAAATTTCTTGGAAGTTCCTTCCGGCTAAGTTCGATGGACTCTCTGATCAACAATGAGAGGGAGGGGCTCTCCAGACTTGCTGGAGGATGTGACGTAGGATTGAACGCCCTACTCACATA